GGACATCAAGTGGTGATCTTCCTGCTGCAATGCAGTACTTGCCAAACTTTTTCTGCAGCACCGCCCCCACCCCCCCATCCCCGTTTTAGTAGACTGTAGACCTCTGTATTTCCTACAAAACTGCTATTCTCGTTAAAACAAGGGTCGTAAATCAAATATGTCAATCGAAATAAACAAGCTGCAAAATTGAAATAAAATTAAACGATACTTTTTTTTTGTTTATCATAAAATGTTTATCAGAAAACAGAGATTCTTGGGTTTGGTTCGAGGAACACCGTACTTGGCGCCTCCAAGTGGCAGTCTGATGCAGCACATCTGCTGTTAACACAAACGTTTCCCCCCGTCTGGGTTAAATAATATATATAATTCTATAGTGTGTAGTACTGACAAAATACGACAAGATCGTCAATTTAAGCAGTACACCAACATATAATGTCTATATCTAGCGTATATTTTGTTTATGAGTAGCTTCACGTATACGTATATTTTGTTTATGAGTAGCTTCAAAGCCAAAAAAGTGTGGATAGCAGATGCTGGTACACAAGCCTAGAGTGCCCTCTAGCGGCGGTCGGTGTGAAAATAAGAAACACGTGAAATGTTGTGAAAATATATTTTAATATATTAGTCGCACCTAAGTATAGGTCGCAAACCCAGCCATAGGATGAAAAGAAGTTCGACTCATAGTCCAGAAAATACGGTACTTTGAAATACATCACAAATATGTTTGCTGGTTAGTGTGAGCTCAGGTCTGGGAGCTAAACATAAAAATACATTTAAAAAAAAAATCTGACGTCACATCACCCGAACTTGATGGCCTCAAGAAATACATGAGCTAAGATGCTGCCTATTTCAATATTTCTGTTTCCTCGTGGTAAAAACACACCGAGATGACATTGAAGAAAAACAGCCATTTAGCCAGAGCGAGGTGCAGAGGACGGATGCTGCGGCTCAGCTTGCTGCCGGTATTTAATACGCGGTGAGGTCATTCTTCTTTGCCCGACACTTTCTATCTCCTGCCTCCAGCTCGGTGCACGGAGCGTGATAGCAGCGAGGTGCACTGTAATTTTCTTTCCCTCTCTCATCTTTATCTCCTCGGCTCGGTTTGGTTGCGGTTATGAGCGCGCCTTGTCCTACACACGTTCACGTGTGTAATCTCACTCCGCGTAGTGTGTCATTTAAATGAGCTGTTCGCGGGGGTTTTCACCCCACTCTCACACGGCCCACCATAAAACGGACAGCACACACAACATGACACCAAACAAGACTTACAAGACCAATCGCACAAAACGACTTGTATGTATTTCATGCTTTGATTTTTGTCAAATATATGTCAAATCCTTATGTCTAAATTGTGAAATAATATGTACATATATGTATGTAGAAATCTTTCTGTGCATGTAAATACTGTATGTATATATGTATATGTACAAACAAAACAATATATAAATGTATAAATGTTAATTTTGTATATATATTATATATATCTATGTATAGTGTATATTTTTGTCCAACTCTGAAAATATAATATTTCAACATGTCAAATTATCACCAAAACAAGCAAGACATTCCTGGGACGTTTTTTTGCAAATTTTCACAGTGCTTTTTTTTGGTGATATATTGACATATACAAATATATTTTCTGCAGCATGTTTTAGGACCTAATCT